TCTCAAAAGCAGAAGTTTACCATGAGAAATGTGGGAGGCTAGCGGGGTGGGCATGGATTATCATGGCAATGCCTTCCAGGAAGAACTTAACAAAGAGCAGCTGGTGAGACAGACAATATTTTCGGTTGAAAGCACCACTAAACACAACCTGAGCCAAGGAGTCTATTCTACTTTGACTTCTGATCACTCCAACTTCATCCTGACAGAAGTCAGTTCCCATTTTATCCCAAGCAGAATAATTTTGGTGGTATGTCCAACATTTTTTTTCCTGAATTCATAACCAGATTAAAGTAAAGCAGGGGAAGAAAATGCTTTGAAGAAACACAAACATTTTAAACAAAAACAGTCATTTTTCTAAATGGTTTTATTTACATTTTTCATATACAAGTATGTTAAATGATACATTCTGACTAGTATCCACACCAGTGTGAATTACATGGATTAAAGATACTGATGTATTGCATATGATGAAATGCAAAAGAATCAACCCTAAGCTTTGGTCCAACCCTCTGAATCCTCATACAGAATCTGGTTTGCTATGAGACATCTAAAATTCAAAGTGTTCACATCAAATAGAAGTTATGTAAACAAATGTATCTAGTTTCATTTCTTTAGAATGAGCAACAACACAGGAATCTTACTTGCAAAATTCTCAAGATGAAAAATACATATTAACAGCCCAACGCTTCACATGCACGTTACCAGGTTTGTATTTATTGTTTCTAGACTTGGGGTATTTGTCACAACTGTCTCGTACTTATGAATTTTAAATCTTTAATTATGGCAACGTTTTAACCCCCACTAACATCAGTTTAAGGTGACCACGATATAACGCAATATACTCAACAAAAAAAGATAAAAAGGTGTCGTGTGAACTGGCCTGAAGAATTCAGGACAATTACAGATGAAAGTTTCCATTCAGAGTAACTGGAACTAAAAATTCTTTAGATCATTAAAAAAATGTTGCAAATACATGACCACAGTTTAATAAATGTGCTTAAGAGGATTTTCAACCTGGTGATTTCTCAAAGGAAAACTAGCAGAGAAAAAAGAGACAACTTCAAATGTTGGCTTCAGAACTACTGAAGTATTTACGACACTGGTAATGTCAATGTTCTTTCATGTGCATGAAAAGCATTATCAAGTCTTTCTGTGTCTAAGAGATGGTTCAAACAGTCAAAGAGACAAAGAAAATAGTAACAGACAGCTGGGCCTATGGGATCACAGGGTGTTAAATCAGAATTTATTTTTACATTCCTGTAGCACCTTTTAGCCAGGTGCCAAAGCACTTTAATCACTATATCAAGCCTCACAACAACCCTGTGAGGTAGGTTGTTTTAATAATGGCAAAACAGGTTAAATAACTTACCCAAGAAGACACAGCACATCAGCAGAGCAGGCTAAAATCCAGACTGTGTGATCTATGGATTTAACATTATGGCACATTTGGCACTGAGACTTACATACTCCTTTATAAAATCTGTGAAAGAGGCACTGCCACGTGAATTGATTCAAGTTTTCTGGAAAGAGGTTTTTACGAGAAAGGTACCAAGAGAAAAACATCCTTTAAGCAACTAGAGAAAACAAGAGCCTGAGAAGAGTGGCATTACTGTTCCACTTCCTAATTTTAAGAGATGTGGAATAACAAGTTAACTATTTTACTTGCTCAAATATGTATCAAATCCCAAACTCTATTGAAGTGTTCAAATACTATGACCCCAAAAAAGTTGTGAAATGGGAGTTGTTTCACCCAATTCTATTATTTCTAGGTCCTGCAATTCTTCTTTGAAGGTCAGAAGAAATAAGAATCAGTGTGAGAATCCAAACTTTTTCACCAATTCAAACTTTAATAGTGTAATTCCCATTAAAAAACAGTCAAAGCATGCCCTTCCAAGTTAATTTCCATGTTCTACTGACTACCTAAGAGATCAGAGCATATAAATCAGTGCTTGGCACCCGAAATGCCAACATGAAGTATTTGGTTCCTTCAGCACAGTGTGTGTATCAGCTGCAGGGAGCTGGATAACACACCAGGTGCTGAGCACTGCTTTGCACTGTATTCCACTAGGGAACACAGTCATACACAAAAAGGGAAGCAGTCAGTGAGCTGAACAGTCAGAAAACCAAGAGGTAACACAGCAGTAAGGCCTGCACTTGGATGTTATACATTACAAAATGGACTGGCATATGCAGGGCAACAGTTTTTGTTAATATAAACAATGATTCCTATGGAAGTGACTAAAAAGAACACATTCCTTGAGTTAGGCAAACAGGAATTTAAAGACTTCTAACAACTGTATCAATAGAGTACAACTGTTAAAGGGCTAATTTCATTTTCCTAAGGCCATAATCACAACCCTCATCCTGGCTAATCTTCCAGTAATAGCCCACAACTTGGCAATGTTTGCAGCTCTGACTTATGTCTTCCAGAGGACAAAATTCTCTAGTGAAAGACAACCTGCCAGAAAACAACCCCCACTTTCCCTTTCTGTCTTTCTGTGAGGCAAAGAGGAAACATTATCATGTTCAAGAGTAAAATGCTTCTTTGACATCAGGAGAAATGCACTTGCAGATGACTAAAGATTCAGCAATTTTCAGATTTCAATACTGAGGCAGTGAAAGTAAATCAAAAGCTATGCTGAAGATCTACCACAGGCTTACTTTCCCAACTCAAGGGTGAAAAGATCTATACTTCTGAACAGTCCAAGAGAAACTTTCTAGCAGGAGGAGACTACTAAGATTTCCACGGAAAAGAAGTCCTTGGAAAATACTTTCCCTATATTCTTTGTACATCTTAAGGTTGCAATCAAAGAAGTCTCAAAACAATTGCTCTACCTCAGGTAGCCTTCACAAATTAATTTAAGACTTAATTTATATTCAACTACAGTGTTAAAAGAACATGTGAGATAACATTTTGTTTTAAATTTACTCTCAGATGAGCTGTTCATATGATATGCAACTTAAAACAACATTGACAAGAGCATCCAATTGTGTGTGCATTTTTTCAGGGAGGAATTTGGAAATCAGAAGTTATTTCAACTTACAGCTACAAATGCTTACATATACTTAGGAGAGGCAGAGAAAATCATATTGCTGTGTAGGTAAATCAGTCACTATATGAGTTCTGTGATATGCTACTGGAACCAGGAAAAAAAAGTTGAAAATTAAGCCATAACTGGCATCTTTAAAATTTGGCTGTTAAGATGGAAGATAAATTTCTAAAAAGTGCCCCCTTACATTTCTTTCAAATATAATCCTCTTCAATTGTAACCTCTACCACAAATCTACAGTTTGTATTTTTCCACTGTTTTGAATAACAGAATCATATTCCATATCTCTAACATCTGAAGTGTATTAATTAGGCAGACACAAAAGAACTTGTGATCGTTATGCCAATTCTCTCCTTCTCAAATTTACCTCATGTTACCTAGTTACCAAACCTGCTGAGAAGCAGCTGATCTTCCTTCCTTCAAGGAGCACATAAAAAATGATACCCTAGACTGTTATAAGCTTTGCCACTGCTAATGTTTCTAAATACTCTTAGATTATAGATCAGTTAAAAGGTATGGATTAAGGGAGGTAACACCTGTCAGTTCAGCTCTGAACGTGGCTCCAGACAAGAAGGTTCACACTGGTAACAGGACTTTCTGCTGAAAGATCTACAATATAGTACCAGCTTTCTGAGGTGTTCTTACTCTTAAACTTGAGGCATGGGAAAGGTGAAGGTTTTAAATAAGCACAGAAATCAGGTAACGTAATGTAAAAATGATATCAGATTACATTCTAAAGACTGGAACCTGTAGCAAACAGGTTACAGGATACAAAAGGCTTAAGGATTTGGCTGCAGGGTCCCAATGGCAAAAATATGTATCTGTATGTTAGTCCATTCACAATCTCCCAAACATGTATAACCACCAACATTCTAACTCCCACTACAAACTGCTGGAAAAAAAATAGTGAAAACTCTATTTAATTTGGTAACATCAATTCCGATTGCATTGTAACATCTTACTTCAAACTGCAATATAAAAATTTTTGTTAGATTCCCACCATCTCAATTTTATTTGTCTTCAAAATTTACTGCCAGGCACGTCTGGATATGTAAATTTAATGTAAAATAAGATACGATAACTATACAATGAAGTTTTGCCACTCAGATTGCTGCACGGCAAGTGTCACATGAAATGGAAAAATATTGAGCTCATTTCTCATCTACAGAACACAGGTCCCCACCCCTGTAGTTTAGCACACAGAAAATCTGTCCTGAGAAAAATGTGCAGCTGGAAGATGCTCACAAAAAGCATGTGCATTAGGATTAAATAACAACTACAGAAATGAATAAAACCAGAACCAGCACTCCTCCCACCCCCCAGTTCTGCAGGGCATTTCATGGCATGTCATTAAATGTGGTCTAAATGACCAGTGCACTACGGGGTAAGTCTTACACAGTTATGTAAACAAACACAATTTTTGTTGGGATTTTTAAAGGCTAATGAGTTGTGCTAATGCACTTTCCCAGCATTTTCATTCCAGAAATTAGCTTCCACCCCACACCCTCCCTGCAAACACTGTTCACAGAAACACTCAATTCCCTAAGAAAGCAAAATAAAAGAAAAATAAAATCCAAACATTCAGAGAAAGTCATTCAAATAAGTTTGTATGTGTAAATAAAAAAATAAGTCCTCTAAGTAAATGACACGGGAGGCAATAAATTGACACGACAAGCAAATAAAAGGCTAAAGCACTCCAATACCATTGAAACAGTTTTAATGTTGTTGCAATTCCATAATGCAACAATCATCAACTCATAAAAGACCCAATACTTTAGAATTCATTTTAATCATTCCTTTGTACCTATTTTACAAAATAAAGGCAAGGCATATTTAAAATCCCCTTTCCCCTAGATATTATGTGCCTATCTTAATCATGCTTATAAAAGTAGAAACTTAAAACTCCTATTAAATGTCATATAAGGAAAAAAAAAAAGTAAAAATATTAACCTCTGCTTCAATGTACAGTTTCCAGAATCTGCCAGAACTGGGGAACTGGGCAACAAGGCGTTCATAGGTCTTCCGTGCTTTGTCTATAGGCTGATTCTAAAAATTGAAAATCAAAACAGCATTTACAATATTATGACTTCTGTAAATGAATATGCTGATTTTTACTCCAGAATCAAATAGTGTGAGTGGACCATAGATAAGGAAATGTAATCCTATGTCACTAAACCTGTGCCTCTCGAATGAGAATGCTCCAAGCGTCAAGGTCATATGGATTTTCTTCTAGTTTCTTTTCAGCTTTCTTCACTTTTTCTGGGACATATTCAGCAGTCTAGAAAAATGAAAAAAGAAGACATAAGAGATCACAAGCAGTGTTTGAAAAGTTCTGCCCCAGCCACAAAGTCAAGCTAACAGTAACATTCTGACAACGTAACGTTTCCCGAGCTCAGTTTTCCAACTGGATTTACTAAACTGTAATTTCTGGGGTAAGATAATGCACTCTTAGCACAAGTTCTACCTTTGTGGAGATCCAGCAAAGAGTTAGACTAAACCACCTACATGTTTCTAAAACACCAGAACAAATTTGAGTTTGCTGGCAAATTTACTTCACTATGAATTTTAAACGTTTTTACCACCCTTGAACTTTTAAGATGCAATAAGTAAATTCAGACCAATATTTCTATTACAGACCCCAGAAAAACAAATCCCTGTTACTGCACAAGTCCATCTGTACATGGAGAACAGCATTTTGTATCAGAAATTTAAGATGAAAACTAGGAGATGACAGTTTTAGCAGGAACATATACATGCTGTCCAAGCACAGTTTCTTTGTTAACTTTCTGATCTCTCATCTTACAGTTGCCTTCCTGTAGTTTTGACACTAAACTATCCTTAAATTGCCCTTTTTCTAAAAAAAAAAAAGCTTTACCAAATTGAATGTGTACTTGTTGACACGGTTACTTTTACAGAATAGGTTTGAGTCTTCTTTCAAAGACCTCTGGAAATAGATGCTTTATGATTTCCAGCTATTTTTTCTAGATTTAACACTGTTATCACAAAGTAGATTAAAAACAAATTACAATCTGAAGATCACATACAGACACCCCTTAAACTACATGCTTCTTACAACCCTAAAGGAGATGAATTTTATTATTAAGCATAAAATATTATTTTGACCTGTACTCCAAAACAGCTTATTTACAAACTTTCCAAATCTGACTCATTTTCAGGCAGTTGTCAGCAATCCAAAAATCATACCACCAACCAAATTCTTGCCTTTGTGAGATGCAATGATAATAACCTGTAAGTCATTACTACGAGAGCTTGCTGGTTAAATTTTATTTACAAGTTAGCTACATAATTACTGTTAGAATATATTTTTAATATATTTTTAAAAGCCCCTGTCAATTGCTAAATGATTATTTCAAGGAAATAATTGTAATTGTTAACATTGGGTCTAGGTCACGGAATCACAGGATGGGTCAGCTTGGAAGGAACCGGGTTGTCTGGTCCAACCTCCCTGGCCAAGCAGGGTTATCCCAGAGCACATGGCACAGGTCAGTGCATCCTTCTGAGGCTGGAAAAGATGGTGAACATGATACAAAGAACCAACACTCCTCTCTCAAAGGTGCCATCACACACTTGGAAAGGGAAACAGAAGTAACTGGACTCTGCAGAGCTATGACTTCCAGTAACTATTGTGCTTCACTACTGGCAGATGTTCCAAGGATACAAAAGCAAGGTATTATTAATAGATTTTACTGGAAAACCATTTACTTTATATGGCAACAAGCTGCCTGTGACATACTGTACAAACAGTGACTTAAGAGAAAAAGCTGGGGCCGGCAAACGCAGGGAGCCTCGGTTCCTTGGGAACATCCCCTTTGTTTGCAGGAGTGCCCTGTCACTGCAGTGCCACCCAACAGCTGCTCCTGTCATACAATGCAATTCAACTTGATCATTTAAAGGAAACAACTGTAGTTCTGAATATTTTTCAGCATCACCAGTTTTCGTGTCAGTCCTCCTTGCAGGATGTAAATCGAGATTTTTTAAAATAAAATTACTTATAAAAATGGACAAGCGATCAAAAATGTTGCAGAACTCTAAAATGGACATGTAGTGGAAGATATGCATTAAAGGGAAAAGAAAAAAATGAAGTGGAAGAGTTTTATAGGAGTTTAAAGATCATTATTCTTTTTAATTTACTTTTCAAGTAATTCTTAACATTAATTGCTCAGTGCAAAGCAGTGTAGCTTGAAGGCAAGTATCAAGTCCCACATTAAACTATTATCAAATTAATTTCATTTAAAAAATCCAATTAAAAAGCAGTAACTCAAAATCGTCAGCTCAAAAGTAGTAAATTTATAAATTTCCATATTTTTACTCTGTAACACCATGTTACAGTTCAACTAATACAGGCTTGAGATGCAAAACAGTATAAAATGAACTAGTGTTTTCATTTCTTCTTTATGACATGCATAAACATATTTGAGCTTACAGAACAGCACTGAAGCTGAAATTTCCAAGGTTTAAGCACTGTCTACGGGTGACCCAAAGCAGCAGTGTGTCAGTACTATTAATGGCCGCTACAATAAAAAGGACCCCACCCTACAAAAACACAGGGTCCTGCACTGTAAATACTGAATTTCAACAAGAAAAAGTAGAATGGGCCACTGAAGCACATTTCAACTATCTTAGTAGTAGTTTAGTTGTATTATCTCAAACCTTCCAATGTGACAAAAAAAAAAAATAATTGTTTCACTGCGGTGTCAGCTGAGTTAAGACTGCAGGAATTTGATTTCACCTGTGCAGATATAGGGTCATGAACTCAGAAAGGCTGAAATAGCTCATGAAAAAGGAGAAGTGGCTAAGATGCATAACTATAGCAATCCCAAGTTAATTTTGTACATTTGATACAGGACTCAGGCTGTGTAAGAAGCACAGTAAGTCCATTCTTTTGTCAGAAAATAAAAAAGACTAATTTCCTAAATTGGCAAATATTCACTTAGCAGCAGCAGATAAGAGTTCTCCACGCTCTACATAGGTGCTCTACAGAATTGAAAATAACTTTATGATCAGTTTTAAACTAGACTGCCTGAACTTGCTTCTACCTTATGTCATATGTAAGAAAACACTTAATTTTCTACAGCCAGTGTGAACTCCCTCTCCTGTCCCTGTCCATCTCCAGGATGTGTAGAAGCCATCCACATTTAGTGGACACACTGCACTACAAGCAAATCGGTGCCCTGGTTCTACCTGAGGGAAAATAAGACCTCTTTACTTTGCATCTTCACAAAATATCACTCCTGATATACTGGAGGAATCAACCCTTAGGATTTCCAGCCTGAACCATTTTGCCAGAGCTGGGTGTGTGAGCAAACACACATTCAGCCACACCCCAAATCTGTGAGGATGAACACCCACTGCACAGACAGCAAAAGGGAACCAGGAGCTTGACTTCCAACCTAGCTCAGCTACGGGCACAAAGATGTTTGCCCTGACTTTTGGAAGCTGTGTGTTAACTGCACTCTGTGCTCACACCTGCTGTTAGCAGTTCAAGGCTGCGCAGCTTTTCATTATTTTTCATTGTACAGCCTGCAAAACCACCGATCTCCCAAACTGTGAACACTTAATTCTTGGCTGTTCACTGCCATGATCCTGCCCCTAGATAAGCATTCTCACCTAATCTCATCCTGTAACAAGCCAGTTCCTGGAGTTAAATCAGCAGAAAAATAATCCTATCAGAAAAGTGATTTAACTTTCTAGCAGTTCAATGCCTTGATTTCAGGACCAGATCCAGGCAGAATAAAGGATGCAAAACCATTCAAGACCTCAGCAGTCCCAACTTAGACCAGCTTAAACTACTATAAAACTGAACCTAATCAGAGACAGATACTGGCTTTTAACTTTTCTTTACTGCCTTAAAAAAAAGTGTCACAATGAATTATTGCATACACACTGCAAAAACACTTTTTTCCTCTGCTTTTGATAGCTGTGTTCGGTATACATCCACATAATCAGGCTCCTGTCCCACAAACAACCCTCTGAAGGTCATGGAATTATTTTAGCACTTAGGGTTCTGTGTCTTCTTACCACCTAGTCCAGTTCACAGGTTCCCTTTTATTATTTATACACTGACAAATATGAACAGATCTTGGGTTTCACAGAAACTAGAAGTGTAAAATGATCTTTCCAAAATCTGAAAAGATCTAAAACCAAATTATCTAGCAAGAAGTCTAGGAACTCCTTCCTGCAAAATACATCAACTGCACAAAATCCAAATCTGAATTCATAAAGAATGTCAGAGGGAACAAAATCAGAAGGAACAAAGTTGACTTTTGACTTCTAATATTTACTTAAAGTTAGTTATCAATCACCTTCAAGGAAAAATTGTTTTATACCATCCAGGTTAAAGCAACAGTTTCCCCAGGCCTCTTGAATGAACCTTGATTCCAAAGAGTGTAAGAAAATACTTCGCTAAACACCTTTCAATTATTTGCACCACTTAATGCATCGAATTTCTTAAGGCATCCTCCTGTTTCCACAGAAGGATCTTCTGCAGGGAAAAGGAAATGTATTTAAAACAGCTGTTCCACCTGTGAACTGACCAGTTTAAGATGATTTAAAAACCGCCACTAATTCGGAAATAAGAACTCCTACAAACAAGACACACAGGCTGTTGTACACAAAAAGGCAGGAATTTTAATGGCTAGTTTAGTCAAACTGGTTCAATACTCAAAAGGAAGTCTACATCCATTCCACAGAAGCTACTGCCTGGTTTTGGCTGGCTATTGCAGTTTATCACAACCTGGACTGCAACAGACCCAGTGGATGCAATTTCAAACATATTAACACGCAACTTAACAAGCATTGTTACTTTCCCAGTTTGGTAAATTTACAGGTTTGCCGAGTCTAAGAGTTTTCTTTCCTGAAAGTTTATTTATAGTTGTATATGCATAGAAGAAGTTTTAAAATCCTTTCCTCAGTAACACATCCCTTCACTACAGTTACAGCTTATCAATCCTTGCACTTTCTTAAATGTTTTTAATGCCTTGACTTCTGTTCTGCTACTAAATGAATTTAACTGTGAGCAGTCTTGAAAAAATGTTGTCCTTTAAGACTGGATCACCATGAGCAGACATAGCCCAGCACATTTATCTTAAATAACTAAAAAGGATACTTTTGGAAGTACTGCCCCAGCCCAATACATTCTGGGCTGTTTCAGAACTCTAGATAAACCAAGAGCTTTAGATTAGTAATGCTTACTCTTCTTTCCTCACGGGACTATTTCCCAAACTTTAGACTGACACATTTTCCACTTCAAGTTCTTGTTGGCAGACCTGGAACTTACTGACTCTGGAAATGCACCTAAATTATAGTTTATTTGCAAGTGTGTAAAAACTGGCATAAAACCACTACATTGCCAATACAAAAGTCTTCGTCAATACTTGTGTTCATTCTGTTTACAACCTGTTCTTAGAATAAACTTTAGCAGTGACAATAAACCCAGTTTTATGGGTATCATTTAAAATATGCTCTTAGAGAACTTTCCTTAAAATGGCTCCTCCTGAGACGTTAAACCCACACAGTCCTGCAAGAATAACCTTCTGCTTTCAGCCTTGCACTCAGTGACACATACTTTTAAAATGTTAAACTAAAGTTAATTACAACATTTAGTATTGTAGAATTGTATTTAGAATGCAAAAACTTTCATGATGTACCACCTCAAACAGACACAAGACATGAACTTGAGAAAGGAGTAAAAAAAAAAGGAGAAAGGAGTAAAAAAGGGAGAAAAGTACCAGCAAGAAATGAGAGTAGACTGTCCTAGAGGTATTTTCTATAGTCACAGAGACAATACAACCATCTTTTTCCCCCCAGCTCAGTCTTTGACCAGATCCATATTCATGTAACACATATACATCACACACACCAGGGGATGTGTCTTGGAAACAGTCACAGCAAGTCTGAAATGTGTGTTCCAGCCTTAAAAGATTAGAAGGCAATTAGTGCAGAGGTAAAGCAAACGTTGCATCGTCTTCAGATAAAACTGATGCCTGGCAAATAATATATTAAGTGGGGAAAAAAGTGTTTGTGCCATGGTAAAAAGAGGAAGAAAGCACAATAACTTTAGGTCTTGTCAGAGAGTACATCAAACAACCACGATTGAAATGGAACTCGATGTGTACATTAAGGTCCAAAAAATGTAAAGACAGACAGAGGTGCAAGCATGTGCTCTTTGTAAGCTTGACACAAGACTGGGAACAGCTTGTCAGGGAACTTTCTGGCCAACAGTGGCAGATGCAGCCTTCCAGTCTACAAACGTGCATGTCTACGATATAGAGAGGGCTGTTTGCTATTCCAAACATTGACCCTGGAAAGACTGGTTTGTTAAACATCATGTCTCGCAGGGGCCTAACAGATTTTAAGTCCTGACACCATTCAACTGGTTCTGCAGTGTTAATTTGGATCCAGCACAGTTAACACAGTGCAAGAATTTAAAATCCACTGGAATAGTGATGGCTGCAGCTCCATCTTGTTCTACAATAACAATGTAAGGAGGAGACAACCTACAAAAAACAGCTCAGGTTCCTGATCCGCCCAGGAAAGCAGCCCAACAATTCCTGGACCTAAGCTTGGCCTAAATGCAGTAAGGCCACATTTCAGCTGCACTGCCCCTAGTACAATAAAGCCTCCTAAAGCCCACCTAGTTCTTAAACCCTGTAATACTTTTACTCTCCTGCCCCCCCATCCAACATTCCCCTCTGTCCTTCCTTTCTACACTGCCAGAGCTCTGTACTTGCTGGAGACAGCAGGACAATCTGTTATTCCCCTGGCTGCCTTTGGAAGTCCCCTCCAAAAGCTGAGCCCTGGGAAGCAAGATGCAGACTACCCTGCATGTCAGTGAGCTTTAACCTGCATCATGAACTACCACATTTCCATCTTATGCACGAGACAGACGCAAATAAACTTTGTAGTGCCCCCTTTACACTGATGCGTGTGACTGGCAATGAAAATGGCACCCAAAACCTCAGGAGCTGCTTGGGGAAGCAGAAAATGAAACCTGAAACAGGAAAGCCAGGTGCAACCCAACCTCTGCCCAGCTTCAGTCTCCCACAGAAGGGCACGTTTACAGCCCCAAGAACAGTGTGTTTGCTAAGTCAGAGTGCCCCACAGCAGCTGCGGGGTGGGGCAGGGACAAGGCACAGCTGCCCCACTCACTGGGCTCTGCTGGTCCTTTTTCCACAGCCAGGTGGATTTGGGTCTCCCACGCCCTGCACCCCCACAGCCAGGCTGGCACTGTGCTCACTGAAGGGGCCTCCCTCCTACACCATGAGTGGGAGCCTCTGGGGCCGGAAACTCCATGGCAGCGTTGCTAAAGACACAGAGATCAAATTGTGGCCTGTTGTAACATTCAGAATCAGAGACAGAAGTCTGTCAGGCAAGAAAAAAGGCTGGGGAGGACAAGCTATCGAAGCTGAAGAAACCTGGTGGAAGGGAGAAAACTGACTATAACAAAATCAGAGACTTGCAGGAGATCAAATCCATCATAAAGAGGATGAAGCAGCAAAAAAACAAACAAACAAAAAATAACCCAGTCTACAAAAGCATTTTATTTTTATTTAAAGTGCACCCAACGTGAAAACAGTAATCACAGTGGCCAAAAAAGATGAACCTTAACATGGACTGACCCCTAGGTCATATGTTAAACCAGGTGCTTTTCCGGGCTGCAAACAAACATTTACAGTTTTTTGAACGCTAGACCCCTCTGTGACGTGGCACAGCAACACTGCAGAGCTGTTACTTCACAGAATAACTTTTACTTCACTCTACAGACAGTAATTCAGCCTTTTGCATATCAAACACTCCCTTGCAAAAGAAAATAAAACCTTAAGTCAGCATTGTTTAAGTTAAATAGTAAGGCATTACAAGCTACATGCTGCTTTGACCAACAGCTCAACTGTGCAGTAAAACATCCATTATTACATGTGTGTATATATACATATATATATATATACAGGAATGTGAAGATTAAATGTGAAACATTACACACCAGGATTAACAGAACTTTGCTGTAGCATATTCTTACTTCTTTGCAGCCATGAAATGAACCATCCTGAAGAATCTCCTACTCAAAAACATACTCCAAGTACACTTACTAACCTGATCAGCTTGGAGCACGAAGGCTGGCAATTTTGGGGATATTCTCCCAATGAGGTCAAACCCGGATATTTTACACTGTGAGCATTTGTCTTTCCTACATCCACCCACCCACCCCCTCCACGGCATCGGTGATTTCGTAAAATTTACACCCCACCCTTTCGGTGTAAAGGCCCAAACACACAAAAATTAACCTGTTTTTGTAAAGAAAATTACGTTCTACAAAGAAAAAGCTTCCTAAAGAAGCACTGAGTCATCAGCTTAAGTGTTTTTGAAGGCTACCGTGGCCACCAAGGCATGTGACTGCGTTATCAATCACTCCTCCCTCCGCCAGGAACTTCCATCCCCCCCTCTCCAAACGACACCGATTTTAAACCTAATCCCAACTACAAAAAAAAAAAAAAGCCAGTTTGGAGAAATTCTGCCAGCAAGTAGAAGATAGTACACTGTAACATCAGACTAAAAAAGATTACGAACAATACCCTGACTGCACCTCCCTATAAAAATAGCAAGTTATGGTAAATACGTATTTTAGTCTATTAAAAAAAACCAGGCCAAATTCCACTGAAACTGCAGCTATTTTCACGCTAGAGGAAATCCGTGCCGTACAATAAAGAAGTCTCTTAATCAAACAAGTGTATTTTAATTATTTTTTTTCTAATTTAAACGCGTTTTAATAACGTTTTATCCCGGAAGAAGAACGTGTCGTTAAAGAGGCCTCGTTCATTAAACGGCAAGCGCTCGCTTCACCAAACACAGCAAATTATCAGCGTAAAAAGCTTATCCGGGTCGGAATTTTCCTCTCGAGCGAGGTGCGCTCACGGACTAGGAATAAGCGAGGCTCCCTCGCTCCCCTGGGCCCCGCGCCGCCCCGCTCCCTTGGTCGGCTGCGCTCACCCAGCTCCCCGCTCACCTGGTCGCCGGCGCTCCCTTCTCCGGACATGGCGCACTACGGGCCGGTCTTGGGGCGCGGAGGGCCCCGAGCGAGGTCAAACAAACCTCCTTTCAGGCGCTGCTCCCGCCGCTACCGCCGCGCCCGGACCCAGCAGCGACTGAGCGGCAAAATGGCGGCGGCGCCTCCGGGCCGGGGGCGGGGGACGGAAGTGCGTCATCGCCGCGCGCGCGGGAGGGCGGGCGGAAGAGGCCGCAGAGGGGGCGGCCATGAGGGAGGCGATGCCCGGACTTCCTTATTCGCTCCCTTCCAGCTCTGTTTTGCTCCCTCTGTTTCTCTCTCTCTCTCTCCCTCACCGGCGGCAGGGGAAGGACGGAACCCCGGCGCCCGCCCCGGCCCCGGCCCTGAGGGGTGGCCGAAGCAGGGGCCCGGCAGTCGCTGTGGCGCTCGCGGTGTCGGTGCTTCGCTCCCATCTCTCGCTCCCCGTTCCCTGGGAGGGCCTCGGAAATCGGGAGGCTTTGGTGTAGCCATTGCTCAGTGAATTTTCCACCGGCCTTCACAGTGTAAAAAAATAACAGCATTAATGCTCCAATGTTCAGCGGTTTTCTATCGGTCTTTACAAAGTAAAAATAAGAGCAATAATTCTCCGTTGTTCAGTAAATTTTTGTCGGCCTTTACAATGTAAGTTTCTGTTAAGGTAGTAACAGAATAAGCCAAGTTTCCGAATGCTTTAGTTAAAGCAAGGGTAACATAAGTATCCAGTTTTTGGCTAAGAAATGCTGAACAAAGACACTTTCTAACCAGCAGTAAAGAGGCTGCTCAGCGGGCAAGTTCTAGTAAAGTTCAAGCTCCAAACGACCACCAAGAGACCACCAGAACGCCCTCTGGTGACCAAATAAGAACTTCTGAAGAAAAACTTCTTAGAACTAATTAACATATGTATGAACTTCATGAGAGAAGGCGTGAATATGTAAGACCTTTGTTGCATATGTAATATTGTGAGTAAACACACTCACACGCTTAGAGGAGTGAGCCTCCTGTGTGGCCAGCGCTGATAATAAAAGAATATCTGGCCACTAATGCTCTCAGATCGAGCCTTGGGGGCTTCTTGTTGCCGATTTACGGGAACAGTTCCGTCTCCCCCGAGCTCCTGCTCATCGAGGAGACAACTTCAAAACACACGCTAAGAGGTCGCTGTCTCAACAGACCTCGAGGGCACAGGAGGCAGCTCCCCCTAAAGCTGCTTAATTTTATTTACAAAATATTCACCCACCCTGACCGTGAGAGAAAGGCTTTGAATCAACCACTGCAGAAAAACTGTGCTGTGTGATCAAAAAAAAAAAATCACTGGAGGAGGCTTGGCAGGTATCAAGGTGAAAGCTGACTTAGCTGCCTCCACAGCAACAGTGTGATTTTAAAATTGTACAACAGTCATGCAGAAAGACGTGAAATATCTCAGTGCTGGTACTGTGGGTTCCTTTCTGCTTCATCTTCCAACAGTCACCTTCTTAAACCACAGAAATGTGTGGAAAAAGGACACAAGGAAAACATCCCATGTAACCTGAAGCTTCGCCTGGGAAAAGAAAAAGATAATAAATATTTACTTGACTCATCGGTGCAGTAACGTTTTTCTTCTCAGACTTTTGATTCTTCAGAACTGAAATACAAACATGCCTGTTAATCTGTGGTGATAAATAAACTGTCCTGTTCTTGGAGAACAGTGATTTTGTGACATGGGCTTAATTTGTTGTTTCTTAGGGGCTATTCCTTCCATGTCACAACAGACTCAGTTTTGAAAATATTTGATAAATAAATAAAATTTCTTTCCCCAAAAACCTGTATTTCCAATTCATCAGTGCGTTGTTTTTCTATTTCCCATCTAGGAACCAATTCCTTCAAAGTAATTGCTTAAAGCAGTGCTGGTGACACCCCTAATTAGACAATAGGTGTGTTATTCTAGGACTGCAGAGCGTCAGCTGTCTCACTGGCCTGGTTGAATTTTTTTCTAGTTCTTTGGGTTGTTCTAATTTTAGCTGCTTCTGTTTTTGGGATTGACTCCTTCAGTTTCATAGAACAATAAAGGTGTTTTTGGAAGGTGACAGCACCAACAGAATCTTGTCTAATGGAACGAGTTAGTGATGACCAAAATAAGTGATGCCTGATGTCATGAAGACTTTTGCTCCCTCATTTCACATAGTGATAAAACAATGTGTTCTCTCTCAAACTGGTGCTGTTCTTGAATTCTGTGATTCCATCCATGGGACAGACCTGGGGCAAACCTCTGCTGCTGCAAATACAACTCGTGCTGTTCTTCCCTTAATGCTGTGACAGCTTCACTGAGCTGCAGCTCTAAGACATGGTCTTAACCCTCAGCTGCTGGTTGCAGAGAATTAAGAGGAGCACTCATGTTCAGAAAGAAAACAAAATTTTAAATTCTTACTGGTGCATTGTACCACTTCAGCCCCAATAACTTGCCTTATTTTGCAGTTAAATGTGAACCTTTTCACAGCTGTGTGATAATGCAGATGTTTATGCTTTGGTGTGAATCTCACAAGGGGCAGTATAACTTTAAAAATCTGTGTAAAAGATAGGTTATGCCCCAAAGTAAGTTTGAAAAGGTTTCCTTGTCTTTAAAATTTAGAATATAGCAGGGTTAGGTTAACTCAGGTTTTGCCTCTCTGTAACTTAAATTTGGGCCTAACACAGAAGTTCCCTGGCTTGTAAGTTTGTGTCAGTTGGCCCATTTGACAGGGCTGATTTGGAGCTTCCTCCCTGATGGCATGAGAGCAAATCATGAGGATGCAACAGCTAAGCTTGCAACAACTCCTTAGTTGCCAATTCCTTCTGCACAGCTCGGAAGTTGTTTTGGGATGGGGCTGTTCCTTCCCTTCCTTCTGAAGCCATGTCATCTCCTGTGGAGCAGCTCGAGGCCTCCCGCCCGGGGCAAGAGAAGCAGAGAGGGCATGATTACAGACAGGACCTCAGCTCAACCCAAGGGTCAGCTGATTACAGCTCGCAGGGCACATGGGCTCAGCTGGGCTGAGTGCAGAGGAGCTTCTCCGTGCAGTATAAATCTCCCACCAACAACCTTACCTCTGTCCCTGATCATCACGTTAGGTCTTGATGGGCAGCTGGGCTGAGCTGGGCTGCTCAGATGCTGATACAGAAAGCTCTTGCAGCCCTGCGCTGCAATTGCCGACCCCCCCTACCCCAAAACCCATCCAAATGAAGATTCCTCCCAGGGAAAAGGTTCCACCACAGAAAGCTCTTGCTGCCCATGGAGTGCCCAGGCTGGCCAGCCAACTGCACCAGAAACCATGAAGGTCAGGGCTTTCTTTCCAGGGAAAACAGGCTGCTAATCGCTTGCAGGAACCCTAGAGCCGAAATAGGCAGTCCATCTCTAAAAAAATAAATATGGATGAGGATTCCTCCCAGACAAAAGGCGCTACCACAGAAAGCTTTTGCTGCCCATGGAGTGCCCAGGCTGGCCCACCAAATACACAAAAAACCACAACACTAAGTGCTTTCTTTCCTGTGGAAAAGGGGTGTTGTTCATTTTCAGGAATCCTGTGCTGAAGTCGGCACTCCAACTCCCAAAATTGAACATGGGCGAAGATTCCTCCCATAAAAAAGGTGCCAGCGCAGAAAGCTCTTGCTGTTCGTGGAGTGCCAAG